ATATCTCTCTTATAGTGCTTATAATTTCATTCCTGCTTGTTCAATATTGTTTAACCTTCTCAATTCCCTCTCCTAACACTCTCAGCTCAATTCACTAAACCTCTCCCCCTGTCCTATCACTGGCTCCCACATCAGGGTTCTACCGTGATGAACAGGCATGACATTTGGACTGTCCGTCACAGTTGTATATGAAAAAAATAAAACATCTCCTGAAAATAAGCCCTAATGCATTTTTGGAGCAAAAATTTATTTAAGACCCTGTCTTATTTTCAGGGAAACAGGGTACATACATGTATGATTCCTTGTAGGGGAACTACAGGGCCCTCAACATGACACTTGTCCCAGGCCCCATAAAGTTTTTAGGGCATGTCTCACCTCAGGTGGCCAAGCTTCTTGGGAGTAGTAAGTTGCACTGAACTGAATAGACGAGGAACAGGATTCCCCTTGTCATAAGGTTCATTATGAGTCTTAAGCAGCGGAAACAGGCAGAGTCTGTTTGTCTGGAACATATTTCATTCAATTCCAACATTGGAGTATCGGCGGTGGCTCCTCGCCTCTGGAATAACCTTCCCCCTGACATTCGCGCGGCTCCCTCGCTGGGTATTTTTAAAAAACAATTAAAAACACTGATGTTTCGGCAGGCCTTCCCCTCAACCAATTCCTATTTTTCCCTCTTTTTTTCCTCTCTCCTAGCGTCTGTTCCATCTTGTCCAAAGTTTGTCCCCTTTTAAAAATTTGTTTTAATTATATTGTATCACGCTTGTTGTGAGCCGCCTAGAGTGGTCTTAAGTGACTAGATAGGCGGGATATAAATAAAATAAATAAATAAATAAAATAAATATAACAACTTCAGTGGGCACAAACAAGTCCCAATCATTCAACTGTCTCTCGACTCTGTTAAACTGATCTTAAACGTAACCTCTTCTCAGAATTGGGGTGCCGGTCCAAACCTCTCTTTGTCCGTAGATTTCCTCAGCGGTGTGCTCCTCACTGCACATATAGTGCCGCAGCACGGATGACGGGCCCAATCCCCCTCGGCTGGTGGTTTGTTGTAAGTGGGATCTGGCCGCACCACCTTCTTTCAGTAACCGTGTCCCCTCAGAAACACCACCACTGTCCATTCTGTGGTTTCCTTCACCACAATCCCCTCTTTGGCGGACACAGGGTCAGGTAACAGTCCTCCAACCTTTAAGTTGGGAAAGTCCTTTAGCAAGTCATTCACCTCTTTCAGCTTCTTCTCCTCTTTTCCTCTCTTTCTAGTCTCCACTTGAAAGTCCGGCGTGCCAGATCCCTCTTTTATATCCTCCTCCCAAATGTCTAACCACTCCTCCTCCCCTTTCCCTTTACCCTCTTCAGACAAGCATACTTCTATCTTAACCCTTTCCTGGTTACTGTTCCCCTTTGGCACATCCCTCTCTTCTTTTTCCCCTTCAATGTCTTTTCTTTCTGGGGGAGACGGCGCACTGGAGTCCTCCTGTCTTTCACACCCCTGTGAAAGAAAAATACAACTGAAGATTCCTGATTGGTTCAATTTAAACTTTTTCCTTGTAGTTCATCCTGGTTTTATTTTGTTGTGTCCCTCCCGGAACTTTTACTTATATAGTGAAAACTGAGAAAAGATGAACTGGGATTTGCATAAAAGGGATAAAAAAGAGAGGCTTTGAAGTGCACAAGCAAATCTTCTCCATCTTTATTAGTCATATAGAAAGAAATGTTTTGATAGCTGGATCTTTTTTCTAACTGCAGTGTAAGGGACAGAAGTTGCAAAACATGCCCTTGTTTTATATGCTTAGAATCCTTCATGGAATTTAGCAGTTTTGTGATGGAAGGAAGACAACCTGCTTGGATATTAAGAAGGAGCACAGTGCCCTCTGGTGGCTGACATTGCCGCAGAAATATTTTTTATTTCTTGGGAATTGTCTTGTCTGTATAGACAATTAATATAATAATAATCTTAGAACTGCAAAGCTGGAAGGGACCCTATGGATCACTGAATCCCTGTCAAGGAGGCACAGTGGGGAATCAAATGCTGCAGCCAGATGCCAATGAGCTATCTAGCAGTTCATTATATGAGACCCAAAAACAACAACAAAACAAACAAAAACAAAAAACTCAAGAGATGAAAACATTGCGGCACCTTTAAGACTAACTGCTATATTTTAATGTGAGCTTTCATGGATCAAATCCATTTGCTCAGCCATACGAGTGAGATTATATGACTATCATATTTATACATGGCTGTGACCAGGTGGGGTTACAGATAACAAAGTGACAATAGTTTGTAAGTAAAGAAAGAGTCTATTAGTCTGTGGATAATGTCAGTTACGATGAGCAACTGTCATGTTGTCCTTTATCTGTATCCTCAGGTGGTCAAATGTTTCTTCTGTTTTGCCTTTTGTTTAATATGCTTGCACAAACAAACACAGCTTTCCATCAGAACTTTTAAATTCTTGATTCTGACGTGGCAAGTTATTTCACTGTTCTGGAACAAAGCAAATTTAGGTTGACAGATGTAATTTTCAAAGAAGTAGCTGTGTTAGTTTGTGCAAACATATTCAAATAAAAAAAAATTGTGTGACCTTAAAGACTAACAGTTATATTTCAGTTAGAACTTTCATGGATGTATCCACTTCTTGAGACTGGATGACAGAGAAGATAAACATATTTTACAGCACAAGAAGTATTCAGCCACTAATCTGAAAATATTGAAGCAGATGTACAATTGCTTATTTTAACAGTAAGCATCATCATCATCATCATCATCATCATCATCATCATCATCATCATCATCATCATTATTATTATTATTATTATTATTATTATTATTATTATTATTATTATTATTATTA